TAATTATAATAACTAAAACGATTACAGGCCTAACGACAGCTATAATAGAAATAACTATAATAATTGCAACAACAGACCTAGTGACGACTATAATGGAAATATTTACAATAACTAAAACAATAATAGGCCTAACGACGCATTATATGAATAACTACGACAACACTAATGATGACAGGCATAGAAATAATTATAATAATTGCTATAATAATAACAACCAAGGCAATCAAGGTTACAACGGGGAAAATAATAGATTCGGCAACAATTATAATAATGATAATAACACAAGTAACGACAATAGGTTCAATCAGAACAGACAAAGCTGAAACAGGAATTATGGGAGATTTAGTGGGAATAATTATAATAATTATAATAATAATGGGAACAATTAGAGCATGGCTACAATGGAGCTGATGATAGATTCAACAGAAACATTTACAATAATAACAAAAATAATAGAACCTACAATGGAAATGTTAGTTATCGAAACAGAGGACCTCCGTACGAAATAAATAATCAGCCTACGAACAAAACGGAAAACCTGCGTACAGAGCCTTTAAACTCGCAGGACACTTGCCGTGCTCCCCAAACGCCGAGCGGGATACAGCAGTAAGAAAAAGAGATACAAGTATGCCCGAGAAAGAGGTAGAGACATCAGATAGCGGGTAGGAATCGCCAGGAAAAAGGCATGATGAGCCGCACGTTAATAACGACACAAACGCGAGCGTTGAAGCGCATATCCATAACACTAAGAGAGCGCAGCGCAAGCCAGACACCTACTCTACGGGCATACAAAATAGTAGTAACGGTCTCGAGCACACATCGCTGACGCAATGCCCTAAAGGTAACGATGAAGAAGCAGCCCTTCGCAGAGTAGAAATAAGAATATCAAGTGCAAGACGTACACCACCCTCAGTACTTTTCAATGGCCCTCAACTACGGGTAAATAATGCAAAATTTTACGCGGATACCGGTGCCGAAATTTCGATTATAAAAAATAGCTATCTCACAGAAGACATGCTCATAGATGTGAATGGCAGAGATAGAATTCTAATAACTGGCATGAAACAGGACGCACGCTGCGCGTTAGAAACAATTGAAATACCTCTGAACGGTTTTAGGGTAACTCTGCATGTAGTCCCCGATAACTTCCTGATCGAAGTGAAAGGCATTATCGGCTGGGACACGTTTAAATTGTATGACGGCCTCATAAGCACTGGAAGTAAAGTACTAATATTAAACGGCACTGAGATTCCGTATACGAATGGAAATATTTTGAGATTCTGGCAAGAACGAGAAAAATAATATTTGCGCGCGCAAAAGAAACTAAGAACAATTGTAAAGTCGGCTGAGTTCTCTTACGGAACATAGAAGAGGGAATCCTGTTCGAAAACTTCATTGCAGTAAATATAGAGGGTAAAGTGTACGCAGAAATAATAAATATGACGAACGAAAAAGGCACCAAAACCGAAAGTAGAATCAATAGAATGTGAGACTGCGTGAAGGGCAGTTTGGCATCGAAAAAGACGATACTAGAGGCTTGCGGAAATCGATGATAGGACTTTTTAATTTAGAATCAAGCGAGAACTCAGGAAAAAATCAAGCAGGGGTGAACCCATCTGAATTAGTAGATGTTCAAAAAAATTAACATTGGGCAAAGGAGGGAGATAAAAAGAATTATGGCGATAGGGGAGCACAGTATACTAGCCAAAGAACAAACACACGAGCACGGGTTAGAAAAATAATGAAACTTGTCGACACATCAAGCTGCAACGAAGAAGAAATAAAGCACGTACGAGAACTAATAGAATTTAACCCTCTCGTATACGGCCTAAAGGGTGAACCACTAGAGGCAACAACTTTATTAAAACATAGGATGCAAACTACGACAGATGGATTCATTACTGCAAAAAGGGCTTGACACCCTGTAAAATTGAGGGAACAGATGCAGACGGAACTGGATATACTGTTAAAAGACGGTATAATTGAGCCATCAAAGTCGCCATACAGCTCGAGTACATCGATTGTGCCAAAAAACCCAGACCCAAATGAGAAAAAACTCTGGAGAGTCGTCACAGACTTTAGAGTATTAAATGAAGTGACGGTGAGCTCATGCTACCCGTTACCATTTTAAAACAAAATTTTAGAAAATTTGGCGGCTACGCGATACATAACGGTAATATACTTAAAGAGCGGATTTTTCCAAGTAGAAATACCCAAGTATGACGCATACAAGACCGCATTCTCAGGCCCAAAAGAGCACTACCAATATAAAAGAATGCCGATGAGATGCTTCGATTCACCAAATATGCGAGTGATAACACTAGTGCTCACAGGACTGTAGGCAAATTGTTGGCGATATTATACGCCAAAGAGCCAATCAAAGCATATTTATCCGGTCGTAAATTTACAGTCGTAAAAGACCACGAACCGCTCAAGCATTTTCACACATCAGAGAAGCCGGACTTAAGATTTACAAGGTTGAAGGCAGAACTTCGAGAATACGAGTTTAACATTGTTTACAGACCCGGACTAGTAAACAAGGCACTGGATGCCCTGTCTCCCAATAATAAAAGAAAGGGAGGAAAATCCAGAACTGCCACGCCAGGAGCTGTATGAGCTCGCGGAAAAACAGGAAAGGGACAATCATGAGGACAAAGGAAGTTAATACGAAAGAATAAGAAAGACAAAATAGAAACATCTGACTCAGACGAGAAAGTAACTAGGAAAAAACCCAGGCAACTGGGAGCAAGCAAACACATGTCAAACATCAACAGCTACAGTGATAGAGTTACAGGACGAGAATGGGAGGTAACAGACAGATAAAGATACCCTTATAGAGGTCAACGACAAAGAAAAAATTTTGTCGTAAGGACCAGCAGACAACAAACAAGCGTACATATAAAAAGAGAAAAACATGAAAAAATAGGTGAAAACAACGAGCACTCCGCTTATAAACGAAGGTATCGCAGAAAAATATAACACAGAACTCGTAAACGTCAATTGGATACACTACATAGGAAAATCCTAGATTTTTCTAATACCGTCGAGCATTTGCACAACTCAAAAGAGATTATTATTGCGTATTGTTCAACATCAAATTAATTTTACAAACATTAACTATATAGAATTTATATATTCGCGAGCTAGCAATTAACTTTAGTATTTTGTAACCTATAGCGTGCGTACGTTGGTCCTGCGTGACCACCAATCATAGCGCTCCACGTTTAAGTTACTTTGGCTGCTCACGACTGCTCGCCTGTGAGCATTTAGTCAGTCCGCACCGATCGCTGGTCCAGTGAACCACAGTGTGGTCACTGTATACACCAACCAAGCAGACATTTTCTCGAGTAAATAATTTTAAATGGAAAGAGAAAACGTCTTGTGTAATTTACTCGCGTGACTCAAACAACATCATTTTCAGTTTAATTATATTAGTAAAATAACTGTTCTTCAACTTCGTTCAATATCCTTAAACTAGTGGACAGAAAACGTAATTTTGTTTTTACTCGTTTGCTACTTTGGTAAATAGCTTTTAGCTTCACATAAAAGCTCAGCTTGTTTTTAGCTGTAGTAGCTTGAGTACTGTTACTCGTTTGCTACTTGATAAATAGCTTTTAGCTGCATTTAAAACAATTGGCTTATATTTAGCCTTGGCCTTCATAGCCATATATACATAGTGGTCTCTTGCACTCATAAGCACGTGGCTCGCACATAGTCGGTCATTGGTGCCCTCGCTCTTTAATTTCCTTTGTGTGCCTTACTTGTAAACCTTCTTGCTCCACAGAATAACAAGAATTTTATCGGCAGTGGGCTAACACTTACGGTGTGCTCACCTGTCACTACAGGGCATCATGGCACTTGAAAATGCTTCTCACCATAGCTGCAGACCGCCATTGCCTGCAGGTTCAACGTAAACCGTCGTTGGGATTGAGCCACTTCAATGTCTGGATACCCATTGCGTGGGCCTGAATACCTGTGCACTTAGTCGTCGTCTTCAAGGTCCTGCATACATTCTTCGGACTCAATTAAGCAGGTAGCTGATCGCCTGCGTCGTCTACGGCTGCTCCTACAACAGGTTTTAAATTGCGATTTCTAGTAAATTTAAATAACTATTAATTACACGATTCAATTTAGCGATAAAAATCAGGAAATTTCAGTTTATTTCAGCACTAGTGCAAGTATTGATTTGCGTTTATTATATAAGTATTCAATTTAGAGGTTTTCTACTATTTTATCATAATATTTGTTTAAACAATTTGTACTGTTAAGAGCTAGCTTGATTGTCACTGCCAGGTGTAGATAACGTTTGGTCACTATGGATGCATATTACTCAACGCAGCTTGGCCTTTATACCAAAATAAAGAATGCTTTCATTAATTTCAAAAAACTTGGCTCGGCTAAAATAACAAAGGGTCAAGCTGTGGCTCGACTACAACAAATCAAAGATGCGTTTGAACAATTTAAAACAATTAATATTACTATTATGACTTTGGATCCTCTTGATAAACAACACGACTATTTTAAAACTGGCGTGTTTGAGGGTGGTGAAGACCTTTTTTACTCGGCCGTTGGGAACTTTGAGGACTACCTGTTCTCGTTATCAACCGATGATCCAGCTCCTGTACCTCCCAACTTTACCCCACCTCAAAATTTTGTGCAAGGTTATGCCTCGTTACCTTCTATTGATTTACCAGTTTTTAATGGTAACCTTGATTGTTGGGAGAATTTTAGAGATGTGTATAGAGCTTTGGTACACAGAAAGCAGGATCTCCCAGGTATTATTAAGTACCAGCACCTACGTACTCATGTTACTGGTGATGCTTCAGATTTAATTAAAACAATTCCTCTTACTAAGCAAAACTACTGGCAGGCTTGGGAGACTCTGCTTGCCTTCTATGACAACCAGTGTCGATTAGTGTCCATCATATACCAGCAATAAAATTAGTGCCCAACCAATGAAAAACTCTTCTTGCATTGAAATAAAACGCATTTCCAAAGAAATGCTGAGTCCCTTTGATTCTTTGTCAGCCATGGGAAGACACATGGGTGACAATGACATTTTCATTGCTCTCGTGACTAGCAAATTCGATTTCCACACATATAAAGATTGGCAGAAGCATCTGGGGAGCAGTAGTAATGCGCCTACGCTAGAACACTACGTGAATTCATAACAGCCCAAATTATAACTTTAGAAGCTTCTGCTAGGAAAACCCCGATCAATCCGGACCAAAGGAGCAAATCTAATAAGTCCGTTGTAGTACATCAAACTGAAGCTCATTCTTCTGAAACAAATACACCTAATAAGTCAGTTGTAGTGCATCAAACTGCAGCTCATTCTTCTGAAACCAATACACCAAAATGCTTGTTCTGTAATCAAACTTATAAGTTGTACCATTGTGACAGTTTAAAATCAAAGCCTTGGAATGAAAAAAAGAGTTTTGTTGAAAGCAAAAGAATTTGTCTTAATTGTTTTGGTAAACATAGTTCAAATAAGTGCACATCAAAATTTAATTGCTTTAAATGTCATCAAAGGCATAACACATCGATGCATAAAGATGAGTTTGATTCTCACAAGGGCAAACCTAATAATGAAAAGAATAACGAGAATCCTGATCCTAAAAACAAGTCATGTCTTAATGTCGGTATTGCTTCTGAAGTGAACTTTCCCAGAGAACCCAGAGTCCTTCTTGCCACTGCAGTGGTATACATTGTTGATTCTAATGGTTCGAGTCCCAAAGTGAGAGCATTAATTGACCAATGCACGCAATCATCTCTTGTTTCCAAATCTCTTTATGACTTATTGAATTTTAAGAGTCGCAGTACCAACATCTCGTTGTCTGGTATAAGAGATCAAACTATAAATGTAAAACAGTCAGTTCAATTCAAAATTCAACCTCATTTTGAATCCAATTTAAGTTTGGAAGTTGAAGCTTTGGTAGTGCCTTGGATCACTTCTTATAAACCTCCAGTTTGTCGTGAGGTAATAAACTTAAGCCATATAAAGGGTCTGCAATTGGCTGATCCCAATTTTTTGGGGCTAGATAAAATAGATTTATTACTTGATGCATCTGTTCATGCTGCAATAATAAATAATTTTGTTAAAAGAGGTGAACCCATGGCTTCATCTTCCAAACTAAGTTGGCTACTGTCTGGCCCAGTATCTTCATCATCGTCGTTAAATTCAACAGACTCAGTTTCTCTACATATCATAGATAATTCTAATTTTTTTGATCTTGTACATAAGTTTTGGTCGATTGAAGAGCCCATATCTAAACCCACGTTAAGTCCTCAGGAATCTCAATGTGAAGAGCATTTCTCTAACACTCATTCCAGGCAACCTGATGGCCCGTATATGGTCCGTTTGCCCTTCAAAGCTTCGGCAGACGACCTCAAAGCTGCTAATAAGTTCTGGCATCAGGCTGCATTGTCTATGCTCAAGCAGCTAGAGCAACGATTCCTCAGAGACCCTGAATTGTATAAGGCTTTTAACCAGTTCATGACTGAGTACTCAGCCTTGGGGCATATGAGGAAAGGTCATGAACTTAATCGTGCTCAATATTTTTTATCCCATCATGGTGTTTATAAAACTAACAGTGAAACTTTAAAATTAAGAGTTGTATTTAATGGATCATTCAAAAATCGTGAAGGCCATTCATTGAATTTCGTTTTGCATTTAGGCCCCAATTTATTACATAATTTGTTTGAGATTATTCTTAAATGGAGATTTTATAGTTTTGTATTCACTACTGATGTGGAGAAAATGTTCAGACAGATAATGGTTTACCCTGAGGATCAGATCTTTCAGGCTATTCTTTGGCGCTCACAACCATCTGATCCAGTAAAAACTTATTTACTCACTACAGTCACTTATGGCCTGGTCAGCTCGCCATATTTGGCTACTCGTGTTCTTCGACAGCTGGCAATGGATAGTATTCATTCACATTTAAGAGCCGCCAAAATTATCTCAGAAGAGTTCTATGTTGACGATTGTCTCTCTGGCGCTCACTCTCTTTTGAAAGCACAGCAAAAGGGCGCTGAACTTCTAGATTTACCTCAATCAGGCAGTTTTCCTCTAAGAAAATGGTCTTCTAACTCAGCGGAAGTACTCTCAAAGATCCCTGATAAGTTTAAAATTAGCAAGCCCAAAGAATTCAAAGACTATGATCAAACGGTCTCTGTTCTTGGCTTGTCTTGGAATCCCAAAAATGATGATTTTCAATTTTAACTAGTCGTTGATCCTAGACCTCAGTCTTAGACGAGATGATCATTATTGAGACAGTTGGCGAAAATCTTTGACCCTTTGGGATGGTTTTCGCCTGTTATCATTTTGGGCAAAATTCTCTTTCAGTCCCTGTGGCTGCTTAAAGTATCATGGGATCAACCCTTGCCACCACCAATAGTCTCTAAATGGATTAGTTGGTTGGACCAATTACCCCAGTTGAATCAAATTACAATACCTCGCTGGAATTTCTTTTCGCCTGATTTCGATTTCTTTGAAATTCATGGTTCTGCAGATGCATCTAAGTCAGCTTATGCTGCAGTTGTATACGTTCGTATTGTCAAGAATCAAGGGATTGATGTAACTCTTCAATTAGCTAAAACCGAAGTAAGCCCAATTAAGACTTTGAGTATTCCACGGTTGGAACTTTGCGCTGCTCAGCTTCTTGCAAAAATAATTAGACATTTCTCAGATTGCTGTCCTGTCAAGGAAGCGCCTGTCCACCTATGGACCAACTCTTTAAATGTATTACATTGGCTAAATGCTCTGCCTTCTAAGTGGCCTACCTTTATTGCCAACAGATGCTCTAATATTTACGAGCTAGTACGTAAAGCTGAATGGCATCATATAAGGTCTAAGCAAAACCCAGCTGATATCGCCTCGCAGGGAATTTATCCGAGTCAAATGAGTGCACAGCGTTTATGGTTTTCTGGCCCAGATATACTACACGAGTTCCAACCCGAATACCCAAAGCTCAAAATTGACCTCCTTGAAGATACTTCACATGTAAATATATTAGTTAAGGATAAAGGTTTAGATACCTTTGTCAATGGATTGTATGGACGTTATTCCAAATAGGAAAGACTACTTCGAGTAACTGCATACTGTCTTAGATTTGTTTATAAACTCCTTGTCAAAATAATTCAAAGGAAGTCAAAAAATCATACTGAAAATTTTAAACCTAAATTACTTTTTATTTCTGTAAATACTTATTTTAATTTAGCTTTATTCAACCTATCAATCGAGGAATTAGAAAATGCTGCACTCTTGTTAGTCTACACACATCAGAAACGTTGGTTTTCTGCCGATTTAGCTGTTCTTCGTAGAAACCAAGGGCTAAGAACTGATGAATTAGACAAGCTTTCATCAAGTAGTCGTTTGCATAAACTAACGCCTGTTATCATCGATGATCTTCTTCGAGTCGGTGGAAGGCTTAGTAACTCTCTTTTAGATGCAAATGCTAAACATCCCTTGATCTTCTATGGCTACGACTGTATCACTCAAATGTTGATTGACTATTATCATCGCAAGGCATTACATGGAGGTGTTGAGATGATTCTTGTGTCTCTTAGGCAAAAATATTGGATTTTGCGAGATCGTGAAGTAGTGCGTGCCGAACTTAGTCACTGTTTCACCTGTAAAAGGTACAAGGGCCGGACTCAGACTCAATTGATGAGCGATCTTCCAAATTGTCGAGTAACTCCTAGTCCGCCCTTTCAGAAGACTGGAGTTGATTATGCCGGACCTTTTCCAATTTGGTTGTCTAAGAGTCGAGGAAAAGGTACTCTCAAGGGATATGTGGTCGTGTTTATATGTATGGCCACCAAAGCAGTACATCTGGAAGTGGCTGAGGACTACTCGACTGAGGCATTCATTGCAGCGTTTCATCGCCTTGTGTCTCGTCGAGGGCAGTGTACTGATCTTTATAGTGATCAGGGCACGAACTTTGTAGGTGCTGACCACGAATTAAAAAGAATGTGGACAGCTCGGTGTCATTCATCTGATTTTGCCGATAGTCTGTTGTCTTCTGGCACTGAGTGGTATTTTAATCCTCCAGCTGCCCCTCACTTCGGTGGTATTTGGGAATCTGCCGTAAAATCAGCGAAGTTCCATTTGAAGCGAGTCGTTGGTGATCAGATTTTGACGTTTGTCGAGTTCTCGACCTTTCTGTGTCGTATAGAATCATGCCTTGATTCGCGGCCACTGTGCCCTCTGACCGATGATCCTGAGGACCTTTATGCTCTCACTCCTGCCCACTTATTAATCCTTAGACCGTCCTATGTTTTGCCCCAACTAGATTTGACCTCTGAAAAAATATCTCCATTACACAGGTGGAAGCTTGTTACACAGACTGTCCAGGATTTTTGGAGGCGGTGGTTCTCAGAGTACCTCAGCACTCTTCAGGCACGATCTAAGTGGCTTACGCCCCAAAGATCCATGCACATAGGGGATTTAGTCCTTATTAAGAATGAGTTGACTCCACCTGGCAAGTTGCCTCTGGGTCGTATAATTGAAATTTTTAAAGATCAGAGGTCCCTAGTCAGGGTCGTAAAGGTCAAAACGTCCAGTACTGTTCTGACTAGACCGATCCATAAATTAATATTGTTAAGGACAAACTCTGAAATTGAAGCTATTAATTCGGATTAAACGTTTTAATGTCTTATTAGTTGCACTTGGATAATCTAGTTATAAAATTAAGAACAGTTACCAGACTTTTACTTAGTTTGCTATTGTAAGTAGACAAGTGGTCTAAATTAATATTTTTAAATTTCGATTTATACGTTATACTTTGTTTATTTTATTTATTTTTCTCTTATTTTGATGTACATTCGTACTGACTGCTGTCCATCAACCTGGGTAGTATGTTAAACATCAAATTAGTATTACAAACATTAACTGTACAGAATTAATATATTCGCGCTAGCAATAACTTTAGTATTTTGTAACCAATAGCGTGCTTACGATGGTCCTGCGTGACCACCAATCATAGCGCTCCACGTTTAAGTTACTTTGGCTGCTCACGACTGCACGCCTGTGAGCATTTAGTCAGTCCGCACCGATCGCTGATCCAGTGAACCACAGTGTGGTCACTGTATACACCAACCAAGCAGACATTTGCTCGAGTAAATAATTTTAAATGGAAAGAGAAAACGTCTTGCGTAATTTACTCGCGTGACTCAAACAACATCATTTTCACTTTAATTATATTAGTAAAATAACTGTTCTTTAACTTCGTTCAATATCCTTAAACTAGTGAACAGAAAACGTAATTTTGTTATTTACCACAGTTTTTCAATTTTTTTTCTCATCAAGTGTTGTAATTTCTGCTGTTAACATACTTTATTATTTAGTTATACATAAAAGGTGTGAGTGTTAATCTTTCAACAAAACCAAGCAATTTGTCTCCCATTTTTTCCCTCGCAACCGGTAAATCAAATCATACAGTCCACAATCATTGGGTTTTCAATCCCAAACACGCATTGTGATTCACTGGCTGCAACGCAGAGGAAACCCGAGCCAGCAGCATATTGGAGATTATGACCAACGCGGAAAGAGGCTAACCAGACAGTGGAAAGAGCAGAAAAAGAGAAAGAGTGGAAAGCTAGGGAGGCAATAGGGGAAACGGCAGCAGCAGTAGCACCTGGAGTAGACAAAGAAGATAAGAGAAAATCGGAAAATAAAAAGGGGATACATGAACAGAGAGAAAGCAGAGCCTAAGATAGGTAGCAGATAGATGAATGGGGGGCGAAAATGACCGGATCAAGCCGAACGGCACCGAACGAACATGCGATTCAGCGACTGCCAGATACACAAAAACCCGACGGCGAAAACAAAAATTATAATAATAACAGAGGCCAAATTGCCAATTTTAAGTCAATACTAAATGAATCAACCAACCGATTTCGAGCAAAGGTCTCAATTGACGTTGAAAAGAAAGACACTAGGGGGAAAGAAGGCATGAGAATCGATGTATGGAAAAGCGACGATACACCAATCGTGATGAACAACGAAGATGCAAAGACTCGAGTATCGGGGACTCAATGCGCAGAACCCCACAAATAGCTAATAATGATCGATGTCCCTAGAGACGGAAGCTGTTTGTTTCATTGTCTTAAACTTCTATGCAGATTAGCAGAATCAACAGAAAAGCTTAGAGAAATACTACGCAGGAAAGACCCAAAAGGAACCAAACAAATACTCAATAACAGCCATGAATTCGGCGACGGGAAATGCGCTTTTATATTCTCACAACAATATGAAGCAAACATACGCATACACCTGCAAGTGTTACCCGATAAAACAGTACATCAACACTTCATGGGGAGAAAAGACGTGGAATTTAAGCACATACATCTGGAAATCCTACATTATCAGGCCCTTATAGAGGAAACCAGTAAAGACTATTCACCTTAAAATAAAATAAAAAATCACGACGACGACCCCGATAACCAGGAACCTCAAGATAACACAGAGAGAAATCTTGAAAGAGATAGCAACGAATAATCTGTAAACAAACGAGACGAAGAAAATGGTGAAGAGGACGCATGGGATACGAAGAGCAGCGAAGAAGGCGAGAGAGAGAAAGAAAGGGAGAAGGCTGATGAAGAGCGCATTATGCCCCCACCTACATCTCCACTACCACTGAACACTAACACCAAACGAAGCTCTCTCTCACCGGATAGCGACCGGGGCCTAAACAAAGCTTTAATAGAAGAAAGAGACGATAATCTCGGCGAGGAGAGAAAAATTTTCGACAAAGTGGGGACAATGGAAAAGTATGGAGTATGTAGGACACAATTTTCACGTGACATACCTCCATGGGCCTCACAAGGCAGCTCAGACCCCGCCCCGTTTAAAAAAAATGAAAAAAGTCGAAGATCCCCCCCTTCAGGTATATCGATAACCTAGTGTTCTTTACAATAACAGACGTTATTCTGGGTACAAAGACCATCGACGCGCTATACGAGCGAGGCTATACAAACCCAGTAGTCATGAATAACGAGACAAAAGCAGTCGGTGATGTCATGCTATCCAAAAAAGGAAAGTGTGCGTTAAAACAATAGGATTGGTAAGAGATTTACCGATACTCAATCTTAACCAATGGTCATACGTAGTCGAACAATTTGAGGAAATCCTCAAAGAAATAAAAATAACTGCTACGTTGTACACAAACACATTAGTAGTGCCACCAGTAGACCATAGGTATAAACTAATATAGGAGCATCATGAATCAGCAGTAGAAGGACACCGGGATATTAATAAACTATAGAGCAAAATAGCGAAAGACTTCTATTGGCAAAATATGAAGCCAGACGTAAGGCAGTACGTACTTGGTTGCTTGTCATGCCAAACGAAAAAGCTAGTGCGAGTAAAAACGAAACAGGTCATGGTAATCAGCGACACTCCGAGCAGATCATTTGAAAAGACATCGATAGACTTCCATGGTCTATGGACCAATAAACAAACCATCAGCTTACAGCAACACTTAAATTTTATCAATACAAGATTGGCTAACTAAATATATAGTGCTGGCCCCCGTCCAGAAAGCGATGGCAGAGGAAACAGTAAGAACCCTAACGAACAAATTTATATCATACTTTGGAGCCCCAGAAATATTATTATCTGACAGGGGGGAAATCTCATGAACAGAACCATAGAGGAATTCGCCAAACTATTTAAAGTTAAAAAATTGGGAGCACAGCTCACCACCCTCAAAGCAACGGTGCGATCGAGCGTATGCACCATGTCCTGACAGAATATTTAAAAGCATACGTCAGCCAGACCGAAAAATGGGACGAGGTACTACAACTGCGCGCACTGGCATACAATACATCAGAGCACGAGAGCACAGGCTACTCCCCACACAAGCTCGTATTCGGCCAACGTGTAAAACTCATGTCAAGCTTTAAACAGCCGGAAAAAGGACATACATACACAGACTTGCTATATCAAATAACAGGGGACCTTACACAACTATGAACGTTGGCAGCAATGACACAGGCACAAAATAAGAACAGATCAAAATACTATTACGACAGAAAACTGAATACAAAGTTCTTCATGGAAAGAGAAATGGTATATATATTTAAAAAAACCGTCCAAAGGTAAATACGACGACCATTTCGAGGTGCCATCAGAAATAACGGAAATAGATTACAAAAGTCACAACGTAAAATTACAAAGACTGTTTAAAGACCACCCCTTCCTTCCTAAGATAATATAAGAGTACCCTGCTATCCTCAAAAATTCTACAAAGATCCTTCCCTAGGCATGGACCTGGAGCAATTGAAAGCGATTTTCATGCCCTGACGGAAGCCTATAGACTATGAACTCCCTTAGCTGACGCTTGTATCCGGGAGAAGACAAAATAAGCAACGCATTGAAATCTGCAGAAAAAAAAAACGTAACGGATTACCCGGACGCTAGGGTGGCATTGGAGAAATAACCAGCAACACTGCCGGAAACAACACCAATAACTCCTGCTGAAATGAATCCACCTAGCACCTCAGGGGTGGGACACACCAAAGACCCGGAAAAAGTACGGGGACGGCAAACCACCAGGATGCAAAAAAAAAAAAAAAAAAAAAAAAATTGAAAGATGGAAAAAGTGGCTTAGTAGTCACCAAATAACCCATCCGGACAAACATAGTGGCTACAGCACGCAAAATAAAGCGTATGAATCGACGAAAAGCTACAATACAAACTAGCAAAAAGGGAGAGAAGAAAGTGGAAAATAGGTAATAATTGCAGTGAATGGGTGCCAGCGCCATCGGATCATTAAAATCAACAAGACTCAATCAAAATCTCCTTTCCATGCATGACACACAAGAACGGAAGGAAGGGAGTGAGAGAATTTCACGAACAGAAAATCGGATTAGACCATATAAGCCATTTGAGCCTCGGGCATAAGATTCACAATCTTTCCAGACTCGCCTTTGCTGGAGTGTAATAATAAATAAATATATTCATAAAGTGTACTTATCTAAATGTCAAAGAGAATAAGGAAGATAAAAGAAAAAACAGCAAATTAGGAAAAAAAACAACAAATTGGGGAAAAAAATAATAACGACAAAGAAAAAAGAATTAAGCACGCGGCAACAAGGAAGCGGAGCCGCAATAGGATAGCAAGAAATAGATACATGTATATTACATAGCGTTTGCCGCAACATAAGATAACAAATAGACATCTGTAAAGAGATTGCCACACTTGCAGTTGAGAATAAGCGCACGGTTCTCGAATGGTACAATTCATTGGGTCGCGTCATATTCGAGCAAACCACCTTTCAGGTACATATATGTGCATGAACGTAGATATAGAAAAAGAGAAACTAAGATAGAACGTAAATGAAGACGACGCATAGCCATACGGCCAATCGTTCTTCTTTCTCGCCCCTCTTTCTCTCTACTGTGGTTCTTAAGAGATTTTAAAAACAAAAATATACCCACGGAATAGAGTAGGATATACGAAATAAGAAAACATCACGGTGGTGCGTATCACCAAACATACGAATATGAGGTAGTGCAAATAAAAGGAGAGCTGTCAGACTGGAAGGATTACGCGTGATGGTGGTGAAAATATTATTAGGAGCTGTTGCGAGATAGTCCGGGTTTTAAAAATGGGGAGGGGGTCTTTTACTAATGTGTTG